AACAGCGAGTGAGCGTGATCTTGATGATAATAATAATCAATAAGTTCCCCAAACTTGGTCCAAAGCAAATGAAACATGAACTGAAAGTTGTGAAGTGCTGCGCATATGTTTAAGTTTATTTTACTATCATCGGCGTTGCAAATACATCGTTTTAACACCAGATTTATAGCTTTGTGACTTGACTAAAACCATTCTGGGTTTGATTGCATTTCAGAAAGAAGTGATAGGGGATTTACTTTGGTGCTGTTGTAGCAGTTTACCATTGAAACGGAACTGACCACTGAGAAACAGTCAGTAATGACAGGCAACGTAATTAACCCTACAAAATGCGATATTAACACCAGTGGGTCGCAAGTTGGCTATTTTATGCGTTACCTAAGGTCTGAGGTTTTCCGATCCTTACATTGACGTTATCGTTCTAAGTTACGCATATTCTGCCTTTCCAGTTTTCTTTTCAGGGTCAGTATACTGATTGGCCTTGGTATAAATTCTTGTATAACAAAGTCGAACTGTGCTTTTTTTCGGAAGTTATGTTTTCACTATTTTGGATCGGCACCTGTCGTACGTATTTCTATGGCACCCCGGTCCCACAATAAAGTTATCTATCCATGAATAACCCCACCGTGGTCTTTTCAATCCTAATGATCGTTTAATCAACTCAACAGTATGAAGCCTAAATTGTTGCCATCTGCTACAGGCCAACTGGTTTTTGGATCATCTTACAGTTCTTGTGTCTAAGGCATTCCTCGTCTGTCCTTCTGATCGAGGATGATACCGTGGTTCTCGATGCAGGATAGTGATATTAAAAAAAAATCGTTTTCCTCATCCTCATCCTCTGTTGCGCCCAAATTTACGTTAGCAATCCTTCGCAATTTAACCTGGATGAATTCATCCATAGGGAACTAGCTAATTTTTCTAAACAGGCGTGTTTTAGTCAATATGATAAAAATAAATTTGGGCAAGTTTCTGATTATCAATCTCTAGGGGTTACCCCACCAAATTTCTCCGGAATCAAAAATCTTTGGCTAGCTGGTAGTCCTAGTTATGACCAACCAACCAATGTACAAAAACTGCATAAGGTATTCTTATCATTCTAGTAAACTCGATGATACTGTAACGGGATATCCATACGACGCACAATATCCTGCCAAGATGAAGTTCAAGCAGTGTCAAAAGATGATTGAAGCTCATCATGTAAGTATTTACAAAGCTCGATAGAATAACATTTTCAACTCCATATGAAACATGAACATAGATTTATTGAACACAGTTTTGTTTTCGCTTATGCGAACTCAAAACACTCGGGTCTATTTGTTGGTTTTCTTGTGAAAGGTTTCAGTGCAGTGTAGTTCCGTGAATAAATTTCCGGTAAAACTGTATGCACAAAGATCAATACATGCCCCTAAACCTGTGAATTCATTTGGACCATAGAAAAGGACATATTTGAGGCTTGTGGGTATTTTACCGTCATGATGAACCAGATTCGTTGACAGATTTCTCACTTTTCTTGCACATTATTGCTTCAGACTTTGATTAGCTAGATGTAAGTGTTAATTCTCTTCACCTGAGGAAACGGTGGAGTAGAACTCCCCCTAGCGAACAGAATGTTTGAGAGCCAGTCAAATCGACGAAGCCCTCTTGAAGGAGAAGAGCTGTGGCGAGTGAAACCTCTGAGATAACGTCAGTCCACCGTCTACTCTTTCCAGTTTGTGGACATGGAACCACAAGCGAACAGTATCGATCACTGAATAGCCATGTAGCTAAACGGAAGCCATATGACTCGAAAACAAGAACGGTGATTGCTTAATGCTCGCTTAATCAATAATTATATTTATAATTATATATTTAATCCTACTGATTTCTTTCAATAAAGGAACCGCTGCTTCTGTGACCTTTCCGCGTCCCGGCGTCAGGAGACTCCAGCATACAATTGTCATTGCGAATCCATGTTTCATTTGCAACCGTGACTCGTGCCTATTTCAATTACTACAAAGCTCGCAGTCTGTACGTTTGTTGGCAGATCTCTATGTCAGATTCAATTAAGATGTTTGGAGATGTACAGGGAAATCGGACTCTCGTGTTTTACTGGTCACAGATGCGAAATGACTACCAGGTCATCAACTTTAGGTCGCCGCTATATGGCTATTCCGGCTGAGAGTAGCGACGGAACTGATTGCCAATGATTGATTTCATAAGTTTCTGAATGGATAAGATGTTTTCATGTTCATTTTATTCAGAGGAACTTTAGATAGAGTTTATTGCACCATGATTTTTTGGGCACAGTCTAAACTCAGGCGTGCGTAAATATATATACCACTAATATATGTGCCCCTACGACCCATTGTCGCATCCACAACAGCACCCAACGAAAATCTCGCAAGGCGTCTCTTCCATTTAGTACGTCCATCCCTACCTGCAAACCAAAATGATGCGAGAGGTCCCACGGCATTCCTGAAAGCATCGAACCAGACGAAGTGATGGTCTCCTTCGATGTGGCCTCACTGTTCACCAACATGCCGAAGCAAGTGGCCATCGAAAGTCTTTGACACTTGTTGCAAAACATCCAAATCTGCAATTAAGAATGAGACTATCCGTGGACGAACTAGTGAAACCCGTAGAACTCTGTACGGAAATCTACTTTCAGTTCGATGGGAAGGTGTACCAGCAGATACGGAGAACTCCAATTTGTTCGCCACTTTGAGGCGTGCTTGCGGATGAGGTTATGAAACACTTCGAACCCAAACCATTCGAAATTATATATGTGGACGACACATTCGTTATACTCAGAGCCTCAACAGTAGATCAGTTCCACCAAATGATCAACGAGTAGGTGCTTGGTATCAACTTCACACGAGAGGAGGAATAAGGTGGACAAATCCCCTTCCTCGACTTCGTTCTCATGAGGCAACCTGACGGAAGAATAGAAACCACCGTGTACCGAAAACCGGCCACGACGGACCGCATCCTGAACCACCCTTTGTGCCACATAAACAGCTGTGTGCGAACTCTATTCCGCCGAGCAAACACACTGCAGCATATCGGAGCTAAGGACAAGAGAAAGAAGTCGACTGTTTCAACTGTTCTTATCAAACGCATATCCTAAGGTCTTATCAACGCGTGCTTCATAGGTAAAAAACAAACAACACACACAAAAGACGGAATTTGGAAAACGTTACCTTACACGTCAGGTGCCTCCGAACGAATACTCCGACTGTTGGGAATCAAGATCGCCCGTAAACCAGCAGCAACCGTGCGATCGTTTCTTTTTAACGGCAAGGACTGGGTCGAACAGCACGAACGATCAGGGGTGATCTACACAATCCCGTGCCCGGACAGCAACCAATGCTGCATGGGTGAGGCAGATGAACAACTACACACTCACTTACACGACCACGAGCTAGCTATCCGGCGCGCTTACCCGAGGTCATAAATCTGAAACCACTGCGCACGAACAGGTCACGAGATCGCGATCGATAAGGCAAAGGTGGTGGTGCGAGCTAAGAAGGGGAATGTTTAATCCTCGAAGCTCTACACTCGGTCACTTCGTTCAACCGACATGTCATGATAGAAAACATTACGTCACACTTGCAAAACCCGTGACGATTGGTAGACTGATAGACGTACAAACAGCACACAGGCGCACGGAAAGACGGTAATCCCATTATCTCATTCATTTCATTTACGTTTCACAACGAGTCCTAGTTTGGATTGGAACGTTTCAGTAAACATTTTACAACTCAGTATACACCTCCATTCTTTCTCGGTATATATATTTTGATTAAGATTGCAATGATCCATCTGGTTCTTTTCATACTGCTCCCTTTGCCCTTGTGTTAAAGGGGCGTCGCAATTGTACCAACCGATCGCTTGATCTAAAAGTGACTGTTAAAGTTGAGTCGACTAAAAGAAAGATGAGTTTCCGTTGTATGTGCGATAGGGAAAAAGGAGGGAATGAAGAGATCCTCTTCAAAACGTCAGAACTGAAAATCCTACAAATAATAACTTGTGCTAAATGGCTGGCAAAAAACAGAATATTTGTTTCCTCCTTTGTGTGACTCATCCACCATGTGCACTCTTTGTTTTCTCAGGGAGACAGGAGCCGCGAATCTTCCAGTAGCTAGTCGAAGCTCTTATATTTGAGCTACGCAACCCATATATGGTTCGCTTGACTGCATCATTTATTTATAATTGGTGCTTCGGTCTGGTACGTGCGAATTCAGACACCGGGGCTTGTAAAGATTTGATGGTGGGGGTCTCACTCTAGTAATCAAAATTCATTCAGTGACTGCCTAATAGACAAATCCCAGAGGAATGGGAGCCACGAATTACGAGCTACGCGCAGACCACATTATCAGTCAGTTCGAATGGATTAATCGAAAAACATCTTGTATGAGTATTTTAACTTATCCAACTAAGGAAGCTTTTAAGGATCTCGACTAAGACTACAGTGCACTTAGTTGGAAAATGATTATTCGGGATCACTAATTATGACCGTGGATCTGTGTATACAAACGAATTAACCACCTACTGCGTCGTAAATAGCAGCAGGAAGACCATGAAATTAGGTACACTACTGCTGTGCTCCGTTGTGCATTGATTAAATACTGGCAGTCTGAAATGAGCTCATTCAAATCCAAGAGCGGACGAGAGTGGTAGGTAGGGCAGACCTATGCAGTAAGAATTACTATTTGAAAGTGATGGATGGATGCCATTGGGTTTATCTAATTGACCAGAAATCCTGTTTAGGCTATCTGATTGACGGACATATATTAATAGTTTTACGAGTATCTTGGTTCGGTTAGTCGATCTATGGTTTCCGAGATGATCCCGGAAACATAAGACGTATTTACTGGAATAGCAACGACTCTGATCGAAGAATGATATCTTAAACACAAAGGATTTTTCTACACCTACGCAGCTGCAACTTGCAATTTCGGTTTCCGCAATAAATAAAATCATGAAATTCTATTTCACACACTTATTTGGAGTTTTATGTGTATTCAGTGCGCAGTATCACTAAAATGATGGTCTATCCCAAAACAGGTTTCAATTTTTCCACCTTCAGCTCCTTCAGCAAAATGAGATTGACACAATGGAACTGACTGACGGATGTTACCATTATTTATGGAACCAGGTGCAGTAATAAGAGTGCGGGATATTAAGATACTATAATCAGATAATGTATGACATCTAATAAGAGCTATAATTGTTGCCGTATGTATCATCGTAACCACTCTGAGCATAGGAACCGTAATTGTCACTTCCGTATACATCATAATTGTCCCGTCTGCCATATTGGTCGTTGTAGTTGTCATAGTCATTGTGCTGACTGTAACCGTAATTATCGTCGTAATTGTTTGAATAACTACTCTGATCACCATAAGTATTATAGCCGTAGTTGTTGTATGTGTCATCATATCGATCACTTCCGTAGTAGTCGTCATATTTGTTCTCGCGCTGCCGACGGTATTTGTCATATCCGAACCTGTAGTCACTGTCGTCATATTTGTCATGAGCGTGATGTCGCGTTCGACCGTAGTTGTCATCATATCTG